ACTCTTAAAGTCACCCAGGAAGAGGAAAAGAACCCTGTCAGCTTTGTGGTGACATACAATTGCAACAATACCAAAGATCTTAAGTGTAAAAACTGCAGGCAAATAGGGCACGACATCAGTGGATGTTTTCAACTTATCGGATATCCGGATTGGTGGGGTGACAGACCTCGTAAGCAAACTATTTTATGGGGAGCGGGCCACAGTGGAGTTGCCCGCGGAAGAGGGCGACAAGGAGGCAGGGGAGGTGGTATCGATCGTAGAAACCGTGATACTAGCGGCGGGGATACAACGGCCAGAAAGAACCGTTCACATCACAACAATGGAATACCTTAATATAGATGCTAAAGGAGAAAGAAACACCTCTTGAAAATAAATTCTCTGGTAATCTTGTAACTTCTTGGTGCCTCAAGGACATTGAACACATAAATACTTGCTCAATTGGGCTACTCAATGGAGAATCCGCCGTAGCAAACCAAAAGGGAAGTGTTCTCATGAACGAAACACTAGTGCTGAAGAATGTATTGTTTGTTCCTAAACTAAACTCCAAACTTATATTTGTCTCTCAACTTCTAAATGATAAAAGATTACTTGTTTAGTTTATTGATAAAATTTGTGTTATACAGGACTTTGCCTTGGAGATAGTTATTGGAACGGGTAGGGAGCTTGGGGGCATATACAATTTTCAGAAAGGTGTGAGCGATAAAGTTTGCACTGTGACAAAGGCTGATGATGCGGACACCTGGTGTTAGAGATTAGGACACCCTTCCCATATAATTGTTGCACTTCTCCCCCAAGTACTTTCTCATAAAAATCACGTGTCAATTCTCCTTGTGATGTTTGTTTTCGTTCCAAACAGTGTCGTGGCACCATTCCTGATAGCTCAAATAAATCTTTAACTCCTCTCTCTTTAATTCATTGTGATTTATGGGGTGGTTATAGAATCGTTACACGAATTGGGGCAAAATAGTTTCTTACCATTATGGATGATTTCTCCCAGGCTGTGTGGATTTGTCTCCCAAAAATAAAGAATGAAACTCCCTCTGTTATCCATAATTTTTTCACCATGGTAGAACGACAATTTAACAGATAAATGAAAATCATTCGATGTGATAATGGGACTGAATTCACTTGTATGAAACCCTTTTTTCAACCACAGGGAATACTCTATGAATCTTCATGTGTGGGTACCCCACAACAAAATGGAATAGTCAAGTGCAAGCACCGCCACATTCTTAATGTGGTGCACGCCTTGCGCTCCCAAGAAAATTTACCCATTAAAATTTGGGGTGATTGTATTCTTACCGCCGGTCACCTCATGAATCGCACCCCCTCTCCACTACTCCAAAATAAGAATCCTTTTGAAGCCCTGTTTGGTCAACCCCCACCTATACTCATATTCGCACATTTGGATGTCTGGCCTATGTCCATAATGAAAATTATCGAGGTGACGACATTTGTTAGTCGTTCATGAAAATATGTTTTCCTTGGATACCCGTTCGGCCAAAAGGGTTGGTGTTTGCTCGACCTAGGAACAAACAAAATTTTTTTAAGTTGCGATGTGAAATTTATTGAACAACATTTTCCATTCTCCACCTGTGAACCGCCTCAAATCGATCTCGAAACACCGGCCGATCAATTTTTTTCCAATGACGATGATGGTCCGCCGTCGCCCATCGAGAGTCGAGCTGTGCCACCCTTTTCTATCCTTAGTGGCCATGTAACACCCCGAAAATAGGCCTATCAGAATTAATTAATTGATAATTAATTAATTACTAAGAAGGATCCAAAAATAAGTGATTTATAAAGTTTGTCAATAAATAATGAAAATTATATCGTCATGTAGAATTTAACTGTCCGATCCCAATGGTTCAATCAGATTTCATTTCGGAGAAAGTTGGACCAAAAAGTATTCCCCGACCAGGACTTACGTTTAGAATAGGAGAAGGACCGCAGCCCTCTCCACTCAGCCGCCTTAACAGGGAAACTTTCATCAGCAGCATGGCCTCTTCCTCTATTTCTTCCCTATATAAAGACGACCTTCATCCCTTCAATTCTCCACCAATTCTCACAAACCTTATATCTATTCTGTTGCTGGGAGTAAGGAGAACGTAGTGGTGCTGTCATATTGGTGTGAGGTCGCCAGAGATAGCCACAATCCTCGCCGGAAAATCTTCAAAACCTTAATTTACCTTCGAGGTAAGCCCGTAGATATATGTAATGACTAGAATGTTCATATAGGTCGTTTCTACGTTCATAAATGGTCATTTGGTTGAGTTTTGTATTTGCATGTTTAAAGAACTAAGAATCATAAACCTTGAATTTGATGTTAAAAATATGATGTAATGATTCTAAAATGATCTATGAACCTTGGAGAACATTTCTATATAATTTAATTGAAGTTTGGTACCTAAAAATGGTATTCCCGAAAAATGGACCGAAGGTTGAAGAAGATGAACAGTGACCTGAAACTACACTGCCTGGATCGATCACACTGCCTTGTTCAATCATACTGCCTGGATCGATCCCCCGAAAATCTGATCCGAAAATTTGTCCGAAAATGCTATTTTTGAGCTCTAAAATCCTATTTTTGATACCAATTGATTATGATCATTATAAAAATGATTTTTCATAATAAAAGTAATGTTTTTAACAAAGAAAAATGTTATGTGATGCATGACGGTAAGTTAGGGTGTTAACACCTGAAGCTAGGCCGCTAATTGTTATTGAATATTATGTTGATTGATGATTATGGTAATGATTATTGATTGATGATTAAATCTTGATGAATATTCTAATTAAAAATGATAATTATGAATGATTAAATCATAATGAATATATTGATGATTGTGAAAATAATATGTATTGTTAAGGGTATCAAGAAGACCTCTTAGATATACCCATATTAATGTTGATTTGAAAGGTATCTATAAGACCTCTAAGATATACCCATTTAAGTTAGGTCTTGCGGGTATGAACCCCAGTGGCTAGGGTTAAAACGTACGTACGGAATCCAAAAACCAAACTTGAGTACCTACTCGTTTGGGGTACCACCCATCCAACAGTGAACACTACACTGTCGGTTTCTGGTGGGTCTTAAGTGAAGGTAAGTTTAAGATTTTGTAGAACCCTTTTATCTTAAACTAGACCTAGCTTAAGGATTATTTAGGAACAGTTTACACTGGAATATAGTTTAATTATTTAAACTAAAATTCGTTTACGGGTTGACAAACATTAAAGTGATTGGCCTTAGACTAAGAATAGTTTAAGGATATTGTTAAATGTTGAATATTGAATATGAATAAATATTGAATGATGAATATTGAATTGAATATTGTAAATATTATAAATAACGGTTAAACATTGAATGTGAAAATAAAATAATGAATGATGAATACTGACTAATGATTATTAAGTATCTGAACTGAACATTATGTGCATGATATCAAATGATTCGATTATGAATTTAGATTCAATTTATATGGATGTTCGACACATTAGATATGCTTACTCAGCTTAAATGCTGAGCGTGTAGTATGTTTTATTTGCTACACGTAGGTAAACAAAAAGAATGAAGCAATGATTTCCTGGAGGCAGATGGGACGAGATGGTCGGGAGGATGTGTGTTTTGAATTTGGATTATTGTTTGAAAAGACATAAATTAATTATGTTTGTATTATATTTTATTAAGCTTCCGCAACATTAAATTACTCCGTTACTATTTTGAATTTTTATTATGAAATAAAGTTTTAAATGTTTGAAATATTTCTGATTGTCTACGAATGCTAAATTTATACTTTAGTCCAAAAGTGGCTGCAGACCTGGACGGATTAGGGTGTTACAGGCCAACCATGATCTCTGGTTTTCAAACTTCAATCTTTCGTTTTTATTTTTGGCATTCCAAATTTGGGTTTTGGTTTTTGACCTAAATATTGATGTTGCCTGGAATGTCGATGTTGGACCACCTTGGCCTTTCCCAGTTTCTTCCAGAAGGTCTTAAACATTGATTTTGCCTAGTGAACATTGATATTTCGCCAACTTTGCCTTTATCCCATTTTTAACAGTAGGTTGTGAACATTGATATCGACTTAGTGAACATCGATATTTCACTTGACTGTTGACAAACATTTAAGACCAAAATTTTCCTTTTCTAAAAGTCAACCACCTAAACATTGAAGCTGGTTTTTGAACATCAATGTTCCCATGACTCTTAGCCAATCAAGCGAAGTCTTTGGTTTCCAAAAGGAAAGTCAACTTCAAAGAACATCAAAGTTGGTGTTTAAACATCAATGTTTAGGCTCTGTCTAGCTGACCAACCTTGATTTGATCTTGTACAAATAATGGCAAACAACTCAAATCTTCTCCCATCTAATTGATTGAATCTTCTCACATGATTTTGGTTCTCTCTTCATGCTTTTTGAGGAATCATATTTTATTTATAGTTTAATTTTTTCAAAAAAATTACATGTAATTAATCCGTTTTAACGATAACAATCTTTTTTTGATAAATTATTTTTTTATGATGTACAAATTTTTACTTTTTATGATTAAACTACAATTATAAACTTTTCAATTTTATTAACTTCTATATTAAAAATGATTTAAAAAGAATACATTCTCTAAATAATACTTTATAAATGGATTTTCTCAATATTTGATTCATGGATAAAGCTATTTGTACCCTCAGGGGTTTGTACCCCATTTATACACCGCAGCTGTGCACTGACATTTTGTGTTGGTGTAATGCTAATTTTTGTTAACGCACTAACACTTTGTGTTAGTGAAAATTTTTGTTAACACACCAATACTTTGTATTAGTGTGAACCATCAAAATGTAAGTGTATATCTTTAGCGTAAATTTTGGTAGCATTGTTCTTAATTCATTTCTATCCGCGGTCCTCGCTCTAATGCATTAAATTTGGAAGTTAAGAGACCTCCAAGTTAGTTTACGAGGGCGGTTGACCCTAATATAGGACTGGTCGCTAGGAAAGAGAGCGGAAACAGAGAAAGAGTAGGAGAGAGAGAGAGAGAGAGGAGAGAGAGTCACAAGGAGCAGAGCCTCTCTGTTCTTTCTTCTTTCCCCCCTCTTTTTCTCCGATTGATTACTGCTTTTCTTCGTCTTTTGCTGAGATGATTTCCTTAAACGGGACCGCAATTAAGGTATTCCCGATCGAACCCGTTTCATATTCTTCGATTTTCAGAGCACCCATTTGTTAAAATTAGGTCGCTCTGTGAAAAAGCTTAGATTTTTATATCTGAGTTTCGTGTACATCGTTATTCTGTGCAATTATTTTGCAGAACTACTCACTCTCTGGGATTTCAAGATGCTGGACCCAGTCACATGCTCAGCGGAGATTTTTATCTCCGACGGTGGTAGCCGCCGTCAGCTCCAACGGCAGACCCGGAGACAGAAATGCGAGCGTCGTGATAGAAAGCGCTCTCAAGGAGGTGGCGGAGACAGCTCCTATAGTGGCTGTGGAGACCAAATCCACCGTCACTGGCGGAGTTGGAGATTTGTACGGCGAGGATACAGCCACGGAGGATCAAATGATAACCCCTTGGACCGTCTCTGTTGCAAGGTACACGATCTAATATTTTCTCGAGGTTTCATTGTTTCCTAGTTTTCATCTGGACTTATAGCTCCTTTTGGAGTGTTATACAAGAGTTCCATTTCTGGGCGTTTTATTTTAGCAAACTGATCTATGGAGTATGAATCATTAGAAATTTTATTCCTGTCATTTCTGGGCGTTTTATTTTGAATAGATACACAATCGGACTTCTTCTTGCAGACCTCTCCCATTGAGGATAAATTAACAAACATGCCCTTTTTTCCAGGTTATTATGGTCGGGCATTGGGCAACTTCGTTATTTTATTATGTTTTCTCCCACTTTATTGGATTGCTAAATGGTGACTTTTTTGGGAACAAAGTTCATTCCTTAACTTAGATAGTATGCACATCTAGTCTAGGGGCTTGGTAATCAGGTTATCTTGTGCTGTGTCAATTGGTGCTTAAATTATTTAGACCATTGTGGATGAACATCTTGATGACGTGACGGTTTACTCCTCTACTATGAATTAAATGATTTTGAGAGTCTCAACTGTGTTTATAATTATGAGATAACAATGTTTCTTTTTGTTGCAGTGGATACACGTTGTTGCGGGATCCACACTACAATAAAGGTCTTGCTTTTAATGAGAAAGAAAGGGACGCTCACTACATACGCGGTCTTCTACCTCCGGTGGTTGTCAGTCATGAGCTTCAGGTTTCTTTTTCATAGAAGAATTCTCTACTGCATACTCTTTGTGTTTTGATCTCTCTTTATTTCATGCACAATTGTCACAACATTTTTAAGAGCATTTTTTCTCCCCACCTTTCCTTGAGAGGCGTATTTGAAATGATCAAGAAATGTTTCTGTCTCAATAGGTTAAAAAGATGATGCACAATCTACGTCAATATGATTTACCCTTACAGAGGTACATGGCCATGATGGATCTTCAGGTAACAGCATTCTGTTCTATTTTTCAGTTTCTTCTATGATACCTTATATTGCTGATTACTTGCAAAACATACCTTTTCCCCAAAAGAGAGTACATTGATGAAACACAGACTATTGTTAAAGGTTGGAGTAGCTTCTTTTTGAAGCATATTTCCAGAACGCACCCTCATATTCTTCATTTGGTTTCTATCTCACCTTTTGCATTTGCAGGAGATGAATGAAAAGCTATTCTACAAGCTTCTCATCGACAATGTTGAGGAGCTTCTTCCAATTGTCTATACTCCCACAGTGGGTGAAGCTTGTCAAAAATATGGAAGCATCTTCAGGCGCCCCCAAGGACTTTTTATCAGCTTGAGAGAACGGTATTTTTTTCTCAAAACCTTGTATCCGGTTTGGTTCATCAAAATTATTGGCAGCAAACTGATGGGTGGACACCTTCTACAGGGGAAGAATTCTTGAGGTGATGAAAAATTGGCCGGAGAAAAAGATTCAAGTCATTGTTGTCACTGACGGGGAAAGGATTTTGGGCCTTGGTGACCTTGGTTGCCAGGTACACTATATATTAGTATTGCTGTTCTCTGGTGTGGGACTTCTTTGTGATATGCCTACTTATTAGACACAGTTTTATATGCTTACATTAAGACTGTAGTTTTTAACTGTAATTTCCTTTTCCCAGGGCATGGGGATACCTGTAGGAAAGCTCTCATTGTATACTGCCCTTGGAGGCATTCGCCCTTCTGCTGTAAGTTTTTGTATGGAGATTATGGGTTGTTAGATTCCCTTAGGGTCCATTTGCGAAGGAGGGAAATGACTTCAGGAAGTGATTTTTCCAGTTTTTGGTGTTTGGCTATTCTGGAAAATAGGAGTCAACGGAAAATGATTTTGAAGTCAACAGAAAATGAGCCTTATTTGGAGGAAAATGATTTTTGTTGTTTATTACACATTAACACCAACTGGCTTCTGAAAACATATCTTGCTGCCATTTCCCCATATATTCAAACTTTTCATCTTAGTTGATTGTCCCATTTTGTTCATTCGATTCTTCATTTTTGTTGATTTTTCCATTCAAGAATGGGGACAAACTTCGGTAATTTTTGTTGATTTTTCAATTACTGCAAATTTGAAGTTTTGCTAATTTATTAGGTTTCTTTTTCAGTGCTTACCCGTAACCATTGACGTGGGGACAAACAATGAGAAGCTTTTGAAAGATGAATTTTATATTGGCCTCAGACAAAGGAGAGCAACTGGACAGGTTGATAACTTGTTTTCTAAAAATCTTGATTGGTGCTCTTGCCCATAATTAAACTGAAACAGTATGTATATTCATATCACCAGGAATACGCAGAACTTCTTGACGAATTCATGGCTGCCGTGAAGCAGATGTACGGGGAAAAAGTGCTTATTCAGGTTTGATTTTTTGTTGGAGTTCACTTAGTTCCAGATAGTTCTATTTACGTGGTGGTTTACTCAGTTATAACATACTTTTTTTTATTTAGTTTGAAGACTTTGCAAATCACAATGCATTTGATCTTCTGGCAAAGTATGGCCCTAGTCACCTCGTTTTCAATGACGATATACAGGTACGCATAGTGTTCTCCTTCATTGATTCCAAACGGTAGGAAGATTTTTTTTCATTGGGGTGGGGGGTGGGGGGGGGTCAGGTACGTATTTATTCATTCTAATCACCAATTCCCCAACTCCTTATCGATTCTATTTAGAGCTTTCCAAAAGGTATGTTTGTCAGGCTTGAGATATTTTGGCTTGGGGCCGTGAAATACTTGTTCATGAGCCATAAGAGTTTGCAATCCAAGAGGTTGAGAGTGTTTATTTTTCTAATGTCTATTGAATATATACTAGCACTTGTATTTTATTTAATGAATGTAAGATATTATTTAATTATATTACGGAGTACTCGTATACTATTAAACTAAGCTATTACGAAGTAATTTTAATGTTTTCTTTTGCATTCTACATTAGTGTTTGAGATTGATACTAACTTATAAAATAGAGCAATGCAATTCTTAAATATATAAAGATCCTTAAAAAAACTACAATTTCAATTGAATATTATTAAGTAGGCGTTAGAAAGGAATATAGTTAAGAGGAACTCAATATGATAAATAAAATCTCTCTTTATATATCCTATTAAAGTGCAATAAAAAAACTTACCTTTGCATTAGTCGGGTTTGGTTTTGACCAATTTTTAACGGGCCATTTTGGGCTTCGTCGATTTTGGGTTCCGGCTAGGCGGCTACAAAGTCCTTGTTTGCACCCAGTATTTTTGGGTCTGATCTCGGGTCAAAAACGGGTCAAGTCAATCTTTGACAGGTCTAATTCTATTCCAGGGGACAGCATCTGTAGTCCTTGCAGGGCTTATAGCAGCACTAAAGAAAGTTGGGGGTACATTAGCTGAGCACACATTTTTATTCCTTGGGGCCGGAGAGGTAAATTTATGCCTGCATTAAACTGTTTACATACCATAACTAATCGCCTTTTCCATTTTGTTTTTTTTATAATTTCATTGCTTGGTTTCTATCATTTTATGCATGCAGGCAGGCACGGGTATTGCCGAACTCATTGCGCTTGAGATGTCAAAACAGGTTGATGTGCCATGCCAACATTTGTTTATTCGCATGTGTCCCAAATAATGCCTCCAAATTTGTAATGGATTTAATTTATACAGACAGGAGCTCCCCTTAATGAAGCTCGGAAGAAAATTTGGATGGTAGACTCTAAGGTATATTCAAATTCAGATTACTTTTTTCTCTTAAATATTTATTCTTTATCCTTCATGTGATGTACATATAAATTTCACCTGCAGGGATTGATTGTTAGGTCCAGGGTGGAATCACTTCAGCAATTTAAAAGGCCGTGGGCCCACGAACATGAGCCTGTATATGAACTTTTGGATGCAATCAAGACTATTAAACCCACGGTCTTGATTGGATCTTCTGGAGCTGGAAGAACGTTTACTAAAGAAGTTATTGAATCTATGGCCTCTTTCAACAAGGTAATCTTCTTAATTTTATCCTCGTCTGATATTCAGGTTTGATTTTTGTAGTTTTACCGAGAGATAATGAAACAATGACATGACATGCAGAAACCCATTATTCTTGCACTCTCAAACCCAACATCGCAGTCAGAGTGCACTGCAGAAGAGGCTTATACCTGGAGTGAGGTAGCATTTGGTTACAATATTATTAATATAGGTTTAAATTATGTTTTTGCCAAACTGGTGCTCATGCCTTTTTACCTTAGTCCTAGACATGTGTGCTTTCTGCATTTTGGGTCTTGTTGCTAGTGTCAGTGTGTGTACTCCTTGTCTCTGTGTTCTTCCTTTTTGCCACAAATAAAGCTAGGGTAACTCCAATATGTAAGGTTTTACCATGAACCCAAGCTTTGCACGGACAGTTATTATCTGTTCGGCATATACAGTAACTGTCTGTATGGTCTTTGCAGAGATTAGGGTTATAGTGACCCCAAAATGTTGGGTTACCCATTACCCTAGCTCGATTCTTGTGCTTCTGTGTCTGTGATGTCGTGTTGATTTTGGGTTCTTTTGGAAACAATCTCTACTTTCGAGTAGGGGTAAGGCCCGCGTATTCACACCTTCCCCACCCTATTGTTGGGTGGGGGGTTAGTGGGTTTGCTGTAATTATGTTTGCCCATCCTGTATTTTCCGTATATTTCTCTCAGGGCCGAGCTATTTTTGCGAGTGGAAGCCCATTCCCTACATTTGAATACAAGGGGAAGCTGTTTGCTTCTGGACAGGTAAACCCATGAAATTGATTCTTTCATCATTCGTTGCTGATTAAAAAAGGTACTTTGCATTTATTTAGTAGGCTTAAACCCCTCAACATCCATTAAACAGGCAAACAATGCGTATATCTTCCCTGGCTTTGGTCTTGGACTGATAATTTCAGGTGCAATCCGTGTCCACGACGACATGCTTCTTGCAGCCTGTAAGTATTTTGTGCTTTTATCTATTTAGAGTGAAAAGAAATAAGACAATAGAAACAGTCCATGGTGGTTTGAATTTTGGAGCATTATTTTATGTTTAAAAACTAACAAATTTGGAATAGTGGAAGCTCTAGCTGCATACAATAGATCTTATGATGTCAATAATGCCAACATATAATATCAAAAAACAATATGTAATGCCAATATACAGTACCACAATGTCACAGTGTAGTAGTCCTATTTTTGGGATAAAAACCTGTCTCCTATTTTGGGGATAAAGACAATGTTTTACTCCTATTTTGGGTGATTTCTTCAATAGAAATAGTCCATGGTGGTTTAAAGCCTTATTTTTTGTTTAAAACAAATAAATGGAACAGCGGAAGCTCTAGCTGCAGAGGTTACACAAGAAAACTTTGACAAAGGACTCATATACCCTCCGTTTTCCAACATCCGAAAAATTTCAGCTCATATCGCTGCCAAAGTAGCAGCCAAAGCATATGAACTCGGTACCTTATGATTCGCATTCATCTTATTTTCTGCCATTATTCCTATCTGTGCACATAAAATGCTCGTGATACCCTTACATCAAAAGACACTAGATGTAGGGGTTTATGTCCCGATTCATGCTACAACCACAGAACGGATGACACCGCCAGTATTTCACATACTATGGCTAGTTGTGCTATTGACCTCATGCTTTGCAGAGACACGCACAAACAATAACTATCTGTGCGGTATTGCCAGTCATTGTTTGAGCTTGTCTATGCAAAACATGGGGTCAAATTTGTGGGGTTGCTCTGACTTTTTGTACTATGGCAATGTTTTCCGGTGCTGTCAGCCTTGGTGTCATCCCCGGGGTTAGAAGTAGCATTTTCCTTATGTCCCTTTTAAGTACTTAGGGTCAAATGTAGAATTATATATCTTATTATATGTGACGGGGTGTGATTTTATGCTATGATATAAAAGGTTTGGCTACACATATACCACAACCAGAGGACCTCGTTGCCTATGCGGAGAGCTGTATGTACAGCCCTTCTTATCGCAGTTATCGCTAAACGGATGGATAGAACATGAACGCTTTTATGCTTTGCTCGTTTCAGGATTAGAGGTAGTGTTGTCGTTTGTTTTTTTTTTCTACAAATTTTCCCTTCTTTGTGTGGAAAATTTGTGGGTTCATATCTTCATAAGCAGAAGGAGAAAAGATTAATTAGATTGCAAAATGTTGTGTTTATGTAAAAGCATAAAATTAATACTCTGTAGTTAAGTGTATCACATTTGTAACGTTCAAAAGAAAAGGAGCATTTCTCAGTGTAAACTTTTATGTATGTGACAAATAATGCATTCGTTTTATTTACTGAGTACTTTTTAATTTCAGTTATCCAGAATTTATTTTCTTGACATCAGATTTTAATTACCCGATTTTATACTGTACAATTTATTTTCTTGACTTCAGATTTTAATTACCCGTTATATATATTCAAAAGTATAGGGTGGCAAAGTCTATGACCGTCCAGTACTTTTATAAGATGCGGACTGTACTGTATCGTTCTAATATATTACCCGTTCGGTATGATTAGGTTTACGATAAAAAAAAAAATTTCCGTACCATTCCTTTAAAAACAAGACATTACCATGTCAAACCACTCATACCCGTGCCAAAGCAGATTTAGTATTTTAAGGGTCAAAATATTTTTTTATTCTTAAAAAGTACTCCATTCGTTCCAATTTATACTACTTGTTTCGATTTATAATTTTTGATTAAAATTATTTTTAAATAATTTTATATAAAAAATGGTAAAAAAATTAAAAAATAAAAATTACATATTAAAGTACTACTCCCTCCGTCCCCCAGTTTTGTCCATTTTTGACTTTTGGAACTGTTCATCTAAGCACTTTGGCTCATCAAATTCTCTCAATGTGTAAGCCTAAATATAGTCATGTGTGATCTTGTTTGATTTGTCTTAACATATAGATTATTTATATATAATTTCTATAATTTTTTAATATACAAATTACAATATAAAATGGATTAAAGAAGTGCATTGGATGGTGTGTAAAAATGAAAGTGGACAAATACTCTGGGATGGAGGGAGTACATCAAAAGATGTACAAGACTAGATCTGGCAAAACAGAACCGGAACCGATTACCCGAATCAAAATATTCGAAATTGAAATCGAAATGATCCGAAAAATGAAGATCCGATCTATAACCGAAAATCCGAAATGATTCGAATCAAACCAAAACCGAACTAAATAATTCATATCCTAGTTAAATCTGAAACTGATTAGATCCGAAACCGATAATATCCAAACCGAATAAACCCAAAACCGGATAGGTCCGAAACCGATAATACCCGAAATCGATTAGATGCGAAACCGATAATATCCGAACCCGATTAGAGCTAAAATTGATAAATTCGAAACTGTGTTTGCCTTTCAATAAGCATATTATATTTTTAAATTTTTACTTTTATTTTACCATTTAAACTAATTACATTACTTGCTCATTTGCTCATAAAATGGATTATTGTCTTGAAAAAAGAGTACAACATTTCATGTCTTAAATTTATTATATTTAGAAAGTGAAGATAAGTTATACATATAAATGATAACGTACAAACAAATAAATTAAATTTCCGTAATTTGTAAATAGTGAAGTGTGATATTCTTTTTGGGACGAAATGATTATATGATGAATTGTATGGAATAACTAGATTTTATCCTAATTTCATCCAATTACAATAAATTTTATTGGTTTAAGAGTTAATTTGATTAATTACAAACCAATTCACTCAATATTAGTCAATAACAATACATGTTAGTGTTAGCATTTTGAAAAGACTCTAGCATCAGCATTTAGTGTTATCATTTTCAAATTTGATCTATACCATTGCATAATTTAATTTTATCTAATTTCAACCAAATACACTCAAATAATTTATAAATTTTGCACTCAATTGAATAAAATTCACTTAATTTTGCCCAATTTCACTCAATTTTTACCAAATTGTATTCAAATAGAACATAACACTATTTGGATTTATCTTTTATCTTTTCATTTATAAACATAAATATATTAGTAGATGTGAGAAAAATTTGATATATCAAAACTAAATTTAAAAATCAATTTAATTATATTAAATTTATATCATACTCGTAATTAAATATATATTTTTCATAATTTTTAGCCCAAATTTGTAAAATATGACTAAAAAGTCAAAAAGGAAAGATTATTTAAGGTAGAGATAATATAATTAGAAAACATATAAAATAGTATGAGGTATTGAATTGATGATAGATTGATAAATGTGATAAAACATAGAAATAAACATGGATAATTAAATTTTAACTAGAAAATAATATATATCCAAAATATATTTGATCTGAAACTGAAATATATCCGAACCGAACTAGATCCGAAACCGAAATATATCCGATTCAAATGGTGTCCGAACCGAAATCTATCCGAACCGATTTATAACCGAACTGTATCTGAACCGACTCGAAACCGAACCAAACCGAACCGAAAAATGTATAGAACCGAATCAAATCCGAACCAAAACTAAACCAATCCAAACCAAACCGAACCGAATATAACATATATCCAGAAGATATCGAAAAAATCCTACCCGAAACCGATCCGGTTGACCCGATTGCCACCTCTATACAAGACTAGTGGTGAAATGACTATTTTATTTTAGGGGATTTACTTAAATAGTAATCCCTCCGTCCCAAAATATTTGCCACACTTGCTTTTTCAGCAGTCGCGGGAACTTTTGTTTATTTCTTCGTTTTCATTGGTTATTTGATAAAATAAAATATTCTTGACACCTCTTATTTCGAAAACTTTTCATGTAATTTTTTGATATGTAGATTTTATTTTTTTTATTTCTATACCAATATATAAATAAAATGAATTGAAAAAACTTGATATTTTACCTAGGGAATACAAGTGTGACAAATATTTAGGGACGGAGGAAGTACTAAAACATAGTGATTTTTCTAATGTAGTATCATATGTTTATTTCTCAATGTACCACTGGTCATTGTTCAAGTAAATGTTCACTATCACTGGAAATTGTTCAAACTAAATGTCCACCATCACTGGACATTGTTTTGGCTACTAGACATCATTCAATTACTCTCTCCGTCCCTCAGTTTTTGTCCACTTTTGACTTTTGGAACTGTTCATCTAAGCACTTTGACTCATCAAATTCTCTCAATGTGTAAGCCTAAATATAGTCATGTGTGATCTTGTTTGATTTATCTTAACATATAGATTATTAATATATAATTTCTATAATTTTTTAATATACAAATTACAAAATAAAATGGATTAAAGAAATGTATTGGATGATGTGTAAAAATGAAAGTCGACTAATACTCTGGAACGGAGGGAGTACTATTTAGAGAATAAAAATTTTTAAGTACTACATTGAGAAAATGACATATTTTTTAGTACAATTTAGTATAAATTTTACTTTATTTTATTAAATGACTATAAAAAAAGAAAAAGAAAGCAGAAATCTGATCTTGTGAATAATAAATAAGCAATTAAATTTGGGATGTATGGAGTAATAAATAAAAGAAAAACATTGGCGCATCAACATTTTTATGCATGGTTACTCTCAATAAGTGTATTATTGTCATTCTTTGACCAAAGGTAATTGTAAATTGATTTTTCTATAGAAAGAATATAAATTGAATCGTTACAAAGTAGTTCAAGTGACTAAGACTAAAGGGGTTAAGGGCTTGTTCTGTTCAGCTGACCTGATTAGTTTTGATCTAATTGGAATAAGTTCTGATGTGATTTTGTCTATTTTGATCTGATTGTAGCCATATTTAAAACGGTTTCTGATTTGGTCTAATCTGATTAGAATAAGAATAAGGTGCTGTTTGTTTCAGCCTCTTAATGGTTCAGATGTCTGAATGATTCAGCACTTAATGGTTCAGACTGTTTGTTTCAGCCTCTTAATGGTTCAGATGTCTGAATGGTTAAGAGATTTGCCTCTGAATGGTTAAGTATTATACAGAGTCTGAATGGTTAAGAGCTTTTATCTGAATTGATCAGACATTTGCCTCTGAATAGTTAAGCAATATACTAGCTCTTAATGGTTCAGACCTCTTACTGGTTCAGCACTTAATGATTCAGACCTCTTACTAGTTCAGCGCTTACCTATTCAGAAGTTGCCAAACAGCTCCTAAGTTAAGGAGAACAAGCTTTAAGTAACTTAAAAGTTTTTTTAAAGAAATACAATATGAATTAAAAAAATTAAAAAATGATAAATAGAAAAATATAGAATTAATTGATTAATTTAACATTATTAAGTAATGCTTTGATTCGAGATCTTTTGTTCTCGTTTTTTGAAAACACATCACGTATATTTTTAAAAATATAGAGTGTCATTCGGGATATAAATGCTAAAATTATTTGAAAAATTAATATTCGGTAGAGTTCAAAACAATGTTGAGTTGGTATTTTTTTCCCTCCCCTATCAAAGTTTATACTCCACTTACAATTAAGCCGCAAAGAATAAGGCTTCGTTTGGTACATAGAATTTAAAATATGAAATTGGAGACAACAATTCCAATTATGTTGTTTGGTAGCACAAAAATTTGTGAATTTAGAATTGGTAGTGCCAAAAATGAATTGAAATGAGAGAATTTATTAATCCCCTTAAAATCAATTCCATAGAATTTCAATTCCCAATTCAATTCCAATTTCGTCAATTCTGTATTCAAAACCAAACAGACTCTAAGTTTCTAAAATCTATTTTAAGTAATACTCCGTACATGATTTTCATCTAGATATTTGGTGCTATTTAGTGCAAATATTTCTTTATCCGTGGGGAGCTAGCTGCACGTTTGGGAAGGGTTACATCGTTTTCGTGGCTTGCGTCCTCGGCTGTAGCGTGTTGTTCGCGCGAGACAGGGCCCTCATTTCTAGCCTGGTTCATCACTGTTTACATTCGGCGTTGCTTGGCGTTGATGACATTTGCTATCTCCATGCATCTATGGCATCGCCGCCACACTGTGGGTCTCTGCTTACCACGTACAACATCATGGTCTCATCTGTCCCACAGCTCAGTCTTCATCATTGGTTACGTTTTTGCCCATGTGTTCGTCCTACGGCATTTCTTCTGTTGCCTCAGATAGCCGACTCCACTTATATATGCTCGATGATTTTTGCCGCCTTTGGCGTTTGGTATTGGACATTGGTGATCGACCCTGCTTGGACGCTTATTTTTTCTGTCGCCTTTATCATTTTATGTATTTCTTCTATTTATTTCAATCTGCTTAATTGGACCTCTTTACTTTTGCATTGCTTTGTATTCTTTTTTTAAATAGATTTTGCATTCTTTTTTTAAACAGATTTTGAATTTCTCTAGTTTCTTATTTGATTAAATTTTTAAAATGACCCTTTCTAACAAGGTGTTTACTCAAATTAGTCCCCTATAAGTAATATTTACTTGCGTGATCCTTTATAATTTAGATTTATTCTATAAATGATCCTCTGTCGAAAATGACTACGAAATGTCAGTTAAATAAAAGGTATTTTGGTATTTTTCAATCATCTAGACTCAAAGTATGTGCACGAAACGCTCCTTTATAATTAAGTATTTTTCTAAATTGATAATTTCTAAGTAAATATTTTCCCAAAACAGAGTCCGGCCATGAACCTCTTGGGGTGGGTCCCTTTCTTTAGCAACTACCTTCTTAATTTGAAAGACCCATTTTGAAGACTTATTCATAGTTTAGATGATAGAAAATTCCAAAATACAATCTATTTGATTGATATTTAGGGAATAAGTCTAAATTATAAAGAAAAACATTGGTAATTATTACTTATTAATGACTAATTTGAAGAAATACCTAATTAGAAAGGATCTTTTTGGAAATTCACTCTTTTTATGTTTTACATTATTTTACAACTGTATTATGACTATTAGGGCCTAAAACAAATTGGAAGAAGTTGAAAAATGTTAGAAAAAATTAAGTGTTAAAAAATTACTTAATTAAATGATCACCAAAATAGAAATGTAAAAAAAAACTAATTTTGAACAAAAAAAGTTCTTATTTGACAGTGTTTGAGGTAATATATTATAAACTAGGATATGATGTTATTGTATATTATCATATGTAAATAATATATTTATACGTCGTTGGAAAAACTATGAAGACTTGAAAAAAGCAGAAAGAAGTTGAGAAAGATATAAGCAATTTTTTTCAATTCAAAATGGAGGCCCTAAACGACATAATGATGTTTATTTTAGACGCAATATCAGGGGAGTATATCTATAAGAGTGGTAAAAAAAGTAGAGTCTCACCCCGATCGAAGACCCTCTCAAAACCGACCAGAAGGTCGCCTGAAAAGAGATAAATTGAACTTTAATTACAAGTAGTGGAGGATGTACTTGATACTTGTAAAGGCTCTTTATTTAGAATAATTTTCTCCTTGTATTGTCATTGACCAAACTCGAGTGTAACCTTTTTTGGCATCCCTTACGTTGCCAAATACCAACTATGCTACACTTCGGGCTAATATTGGTAAAACACATTGCAAAGAAGTGCGCCCACATGGCCACATGCTCTTACCTGATTAAAATATTGAAGATGGTAGGTATTTTTGGTATATGTTTAGTACCACAAAAATAGTTAGATATTCCATACTTCCCAATTTAAATTGGTTGTTCCGATTTACAATGTTAGACTGAAGTTATTTTTAATACAATTTATTTGAGAATTTGGGTAAAATTAAAAAGTAATGTTTACATATTTAAAAACTACAGAGTATATCAGAAGTTCTGCAAAACAAGTGGTGACATCACTATATTTTTTTATTTTATCAAATGAGTAGTGAAAATAAAGAAATAAAGTGAATAAAATTTGAAACTATAAATAGTAAACATGCAACTTAATTTGAGAAGGCGGGAGTAGATAAAATGGTAGGTATTTTTGGTACCTATGCAAAAAAAGGGTATTTTGGTACATGTTGAGTACATGCCTTGTTTAGGTCTATGTAGTCTAAGCACATCCTCTAGGTGTTGCCCTTGGGAGCCAACATAATGTGGTTTTTTAATAGAAAGTGGAAGTATTTTGTTGGAAGTGAAAAAAATGAAAGAGGAAGTGTTTTTGAGAACGGAGGAGAATATTTTAAGACAAATCAAACAAGATCACACACGACTATATTTAGGCTTACACATTGAGAGAATTTAATGAGTCAAAGTGCTTAGATGAACAGTTTCAAAAGTCAAAAGTAGACAAAAACTGGGGGACGGAGGGAGTATATTTTAAAAATTAAGTACTCCGTAATAATTATGTAATTTAAAAATAATAATTTCGAAAAACAAAACGGAGTAATATTTTACTTTAGGGAAAATAATAAAATATAAAGAGCATTTTTTTAAATATTTAATAAATACCAATTAAAGAGTAGAGAAAAGAACTTTACAAAAAGTAAAAAAATTAGAGAGTTGAAGTAACTAAATATTTTGAGGAGAATGAGAGAAAATAAGAAAGAAATCAAATATTTAATCAATATCATGGTTGCTATATTTTGAGAGGCTTGTTATATATGACAAGCCAAAGTTAAAATTTACCAAGTGTTTTATAATATAGCAAGTCCCTTGGAGCACAAAAATTAAAATGAATTGCCAAATAATGATATTTAACAAGTCAAAACTCAATGGTTGGAGATGCTCTAACGGAAGGGAGTCTGGCATTGTGTAATCGCCTACTTTTCCCTCTGTCGTTTTCTGGGCCATGCTACACTTACACCACAAATTATACCTCATTTGTACACCGCAGTAATACACAAACATTTTGATGGTTACACCGACATAAGTGTTGGTGCGTTAACAAAAATTTACACAGACACAAAGTGTTGGTACATTAACAAAAATTAGTTTTACACCAACACAAAGTGTCGGTGCAAACTTGCGGGGTACAAAGTGGGGTACAAAAGTTAGGGTACAAATAGCTTTATCCTTTCTTGAATGTAGACAGTTTGTTGCGCAAGGTGCACACTTGGAGCATTTCATAGTTCCCACACTACCAATCAAGGCAATCATCTGCTTCAGCTCTCAACTCCCCGCGAACTTCTCAAGTATCCCGGCGAAGGAGAAGACAATACCGACAATATGCCGGAAAGTCGCTTCTTAGAAGCCGTCATCCCGCAACAGAAGCTACACGACGGAACACTCTTCCCCGCCGTCTTATCGCCGAACCCAGACGCATCATCTCCGAGCTTCCCGGTTGCGATTAAGGAGCAAAAGCCATTTCTCGACTCTCTTCTCCATCGATCTGGGGCTATTCTCTTCAAAGGGTTTCCGGTCGATTCGGCATCGGACTTCAACGACGTCGTCGAGGCATTCGGATACCAGGAACTGCCGTACGTTGGCGGCGCCGCTCCTCGGACAAACGTCGTTGGCCGCGTTTTCACCGCGAACGAATCCCCTCCCGATCAGAAGATCCCTTTTCACCACGAAATGGCCCAGGTTCTCTAATTACATAGTTTTTTTTGGAACTTGTAAACAATTGGGAGTATTTGAAAAAAAATCAAAATTTTGCTTTTATTTGGGGAATGAATCAATTATTAATGTTGCAAACATAAAAAATTGCAGGTTCCAGAGTATCCATCAAAGTTGTTTTTTTACTGTGAAGTAGAACCTGGGAGTGGAGGGGAAACCCCAATAGTACTTAGCCATGTAGTGTATGAGAAGATGAAGAGCAAATACCCCGAGTTCGTAGGAAGATTGGAGGAGAAGGGATTGATCTACACTCGGGTGTTGGGGGAAGAAGACAATCCTCTATCCCCGATTGGTCGAGGATGGAAATCCACATTCTTGACCTCCCACAAGAGTGTTGCTGAAGAAAGGTTTGTACTCTCTTCATTCTGGCCTTTACCATTCATCTATCATTTTGTTAAATCTCTTTTTAAATCTCTAGTGGTTGTAACCGCATTATACCTTTCTAGAGTTCTATAAATCTTTTAAGGCATAGATTCCATGAAAGAGTTTTCCTTTTTTTGTAAGGCTTAGTGTAGCTTTAGCTTGCATTCTTAAAGGTTTGTGCTCTCATTTGGCTTTTACTTTCTTTAAGAAGATTGTTATTGGATTCATCTGGACTTTTTTTAGCTCCAAAATGATGGGGTATGTATATGTTCTTTCTTAGGGCTCTGAAGTTGGGGATGAAGCTGGAGTGGCTGGAAGATGGAGTGAAAACAGTTATGGGTCCAATACCGGGTGTTAAGTTCGACGAAACGAGGCAGAGAAAAACATGGTTCAACAGCATGGTGGCTGCATACACAGGCTGGGAAGATGCACGAAACGATCCAAAGAAGGCGGTCACTTTCGGGGATGGGAGCCCATTGCCTGCTGAAATCGTATACGACTGCCTCACAATCTTGGAGGAAGAAAGTGTTGCGGTTCCGTGGAAGAAAGGGGATGTTCTGCTCATCGACAACTTGGCTGTACTTCACTCTCGAAGACCCTTTGACCCACCTCGCCGTGTTCTGGCTTCTCTCTGCAGGTGAAGCATGTTTTATGTAAGATGGATGATGTGTGGGTTTGCATTGTATTTGAGATTTAGCTATGTGCGTTTGAATAAGTGAGGTGAAAACACATTCCCTTTGCAGTGTCTTCATACTCTGTACCGATGCAATCATGTAGCTCAGAAAGGTAAGGGTGTTTCTTCAGTGTAAATATATACTCCGTATTGAGTTTGCACACACATGTTACAAGAGTGGCTCAAACTCTCTCTACACACACATGTTCCAAGAGACTCAAGCTTCGTTCTTTTTGGTTGGAAAATTAACTTCCAACTTTTTTTAACACCTTCCAATTTCTTTCAATTCCTACTCTTTCCAGTTTTTTCCAACTCCTTCCAATTTTCTCCGACAACGACTTGAAAAATGTATTTACATAAGATGACTACAATAATATTATATATCCAAATTTATAATATAGCATCTCAAACATGGATAAAAATGATTTTTTTATATTCAAAATTAGTTTTCTTACATATTTATTGGGGTGATCATTTAATTGAATTATTTTTTCACACTACCTTTTCTAATATTTTCTAACTTCTGTCAGTTTTTTCCAATTTCTGCAAATTATATGGTATAGCCAGATGTGCTGTACATCATGAAAAACTTGTAATTAAAAAATGTTATAGAATAAACACTACGTTGTTTCAGAATGAACGATGTTATTTCAGAATGAACGCTTTAAAGATTTGAATCAATAAATGCCAACACATGATACACTTGGGGTCCGTTTGCTACCTGAAATTTATAGAATTGGAAGTTGAGATTCTATAAAATTGATTTAGATGGAATTTAATTCTCTAATTTCACTTTATTTTTGGCACTACTAATTCCAAATCAACATAATTTTTATTTTTGAATGCTATTGATTCTATTACAAAGTAATATCTGTTTCATAGTATTCTCAACATAATAACGCACCAAGAGCCAATGTTTCCCCCTCCGCTGGGACTCGAACCTGGGCGTACTTCTTCATTAATCCTAGGAAATGAGTTTGCTACCACTCAAGCCAGAGGAAAAGTTCGAATTTTTTATTTATTCTTTTTGTTTTTTATTTGTGTTTTTACACACACCCATACGCTACGCTCGTGGGATTCAACTGGATTATTTTGTCATTTTTTATAATAGAATGCGTTGAACGTTTTAGTTTCTTTTGTGGTTCGTTCTTTTAATGCTCAATTACTCATACAATTGTATTTGGTGAGAAGAACCATTGAACCAAATCCTTAAATCCTACGAAGTACTCTCTACATTCTTTTTTAACTGGTTTATTTGTTGAGTTAAAAGTTTGATCAATTTTTTTTTAATAAAACTCGGTGTAATTAAAAATATTTTAATATTATGTGCAGCCTGGTCAATAACATATGCGCATTGACTCCTCGAGTATTTATCTATATTAACCCCTACCTCTCGGCTCTCTCTCTCGCTCTCGGCAGTTCGAGCGGCGGCAGCGCCGCCTCTCCCTCTCGTCGCCGGCAGCAAGCAGCCCCTCTTCTCCTCTCTTCCCGGCTCTCTTCTCTCCAATGGCCAAAAGCGAGGTCACCTCCAACGCCAACGCCACCCCGACAAAGACTCCTCATCTTGCTTTCACGACGATCTCCAACGTCAAACTCCATGTTCCGGTTCTTCTCCGCCTCTCTCAACCGAACTACAAGAAGTGGAGTCGCCTTTTTCTCCTCCTGGTTAGCCGATTCAATCTCCAGGGCTACATCAACTGCTCCGTCGTCCCCCTATCGGAAGACGACAATGAATGGCTCCAACTTGACGCTTTCCTCCAGGGATGGATTCTGTCCACCATCTCCGACGAAATCTCCGATCTGGTTATCTCATCTGTCTCCACCGCTTCTGCTCTTTGGAAAGTTATTCATGATCTATTTCACGATCGACAACAAGAACGCTCGTGCGATGCAACTAGAACACGAGTTCCGCACCACCGTCAAAGGCAACACCACCATGGCGGCCTATTGTCAACATCTGCAAAATCTTGCCGATTGGCTGGACGATGTTGATGCCCCGGTGTCCCAACACCAACTTGTTCTTCAGATGCTTCGTGGTCTCCCCGCGGATCTGTTAGTTCTTTGGGTTAGTTACTAAGGGTGAGAACTAGTGTGTATTTTGTTTATTCTTTGTTGGCCTTATCCTTGTGACAAAAACAAATAAGTAGGAATGTTTCATTCTTTTTAGCTGATTGGATGTAGAGTCCTGCCGTGTCATGATTGGGTTTGAGTCTATCTCTACGAGCTGGAGCAGACTTCCTCTGGAAAAGGGATTCCTGCGAAGCGTCCAGAGTCCCATGCAGACCGGGAATAAGATTTGCTGGAGAATTCAAGTATGATCATGACTAGGGTTTTCGCGTGCTGCTCACATATATATATATATACTCACATGATCTCATGTAGAGGAGGAGAGAGAACATAGACATACTTCCAGCGAGAGATTGAGAGAGCCATAAACCCGAGCTACAAAAGGAGATCAGAAGGGAATCATGTTTGGTTCTTTCTGATATACGGTGCTGTTGTGAGCACAAGAAGTTTGTGGCCTGTTCGCAAATCATATTGCAGATCCATGATTGGTTTTGATAAAAACCACATCCAGCTGGTGAACTAGAAAGGGATGAAGAAAGGGCTGTCAGCACGTCCAATAACAAGAAGTTATCAAGTTGTAATTGTTGAACAACTTACGCACCTCTAGAGGGGGGGGGGTGAATAGAGGTGTTCTTCAAAAATCAAGAACTTTTGGAAGAACAAAAATTCGCAGGAGTATGTCAACCACAAGAGCCGTTGTAGGTGAGTTATTGAAGATAGGGATGGATAACTTCCTTCAAAACTGACAAAACTGCAGTTCAAACTGACGACTTATTCGAATAAAATCATATTTATCCGAATAGGTCAGAGCGAAAAATGCAGACTTATTCGAATAAATTAAGGTTTATTCGACTAAATCACTGTAGGATTTGAAGAAATGAGCTTCAGTACTTATTTGAATAAACTGCTATTTATTCGAATAAGACAGAACTGAAAACTCAGACTTATTCGAGTAAAACAAGAGTTATTCGAACAGTTCTCACAATTTTGAAAATGTTATTTTGCAATTGACTCAAAAACAATTTGAAGGGTTTTTGGTAAACATTTTCAAGGAGGAAAGAACAACTAACATGCCATACACTTTAACAAAAATGCTAAGATCTGAAACAAAACCCAACTAAGGAAACAACCTCTTCGGTCTCGTTCCTTCCACCGATGCTCAAGTCCCTTCTTCACGGACGGATATGAACTTGTTGTAGCTTTGATTCTTAGCCTTGATGCAGAAAATGATGATGATGTTTTGTCACCCTTTTGTCATTATCAAAACCTAAAAGACAATGGGCAAAGGACATTGCAAAAATACATATTCATGAGAGCACATTGTCCAACAATTTCCCCCTTTTTGATAATAACAAACCCATTAGGAGATATGCAATATACAAGGCTAGTTCCCCCTCAAGTATTGCATCATAAATCAAACAAAGACATACAAATCTATACTATCTTCCCATTAAGATATGCACAAATACAATTCCCCTTGAATATATGCATATCTACACCATCTTCCCCCTTTTGACATTATCAAAAAGAGATGGGCAAAAAGATATATATGCTCATGCAAATAGATATCAAACAAACAAATAATATCACATTGTCCAACTAAAATATAAATGAACATTAGTTGGAATTAATAAAGTGAATCAACTTCCCCCTTAATTGATGCTTCACCCAATTATGTGCTTGGCGCATCTACTTCAACTCAAGTCGAAGTGTTCAAGCACACCTTCCTTAATGAATCTATGAAGAAAATCTTGGTACCCAATGCCTTTTGGGTCCAGGGGTGTTAGTATGAACATCATAAATATCAATGTGTGCCCTCTTCTTATCCTTAGCAATCAATCTAAGCTTCCTAAAACATACAAGAGCTATGTGTCCAACGTAATCACAGAAATGACAAACAACTCTAGGATCAGACATATATCTATATGGACTAGAGTGTCTCCTATGTGTCCTAAAGTTGCTAGGTTGTCTAGGTGCATTCCTTACATTCCTAAAATTGCTAGGTTGTCTATTTCTAGGAAATTGTCTAGGTTGTCTAGTGAACTTATGAGCAACGTAATTCCTAGACTGACTAGGTTTTCTCATCCTAGAAGTAGTGGGGGGAATTGCTACTCTAGGTTTAGTCGTCTTAGTATTACTACTAACTTTATGAACTATATTACTCCTATCCTTAGGATCCTCCAAAGGTCTTTCTCCTTCTTTAACGAAATTCACCTTTTTAAAACCTTTAGATTTATAGCCTAGTCCATTTTTTTTGTTTTGTCCTTGTTGAACTATAAAGAGCATATCTTTGCTAGCCTTATTATATTTTCCTAAATGTTCATGCAATCTAGCTATCTCTTTTTCATGGATGTTAAATTGTGTACAAGGAGTGTCAATACTAACCTTGCCAAGTTTCTTATTTTCAAGTTTCAATAAATCCATCTCCTTATTAAGTTCAATTATTTGAGCTTCTAAAAATGTGACATTTTCTTTGGCAAGCTTAGTTTCTTTGGTGGATTTGAGAAATTCACCATAGAGATCACTAAATGCACTATGTAAATCATCCAATGAAAAGCAATCACTTGAAGACGATAAAGGAGTTGAAAAAGAATTAGAAGATACCTCTTCCTCGGTAGCCATTAGACAAAGATTTGCTGTTTCTTCGTCCTCATCACTTGTTTCGGAAGATGAATGATCACTCTCCCATGAGATGTATGCTTTTTGCTTCTTCTTGAACTTCTTGTCCTTCCCTTGCTTCAACTTAGGACAATAAGGCTTGATGTGCCCTATCTC